CACCCACACCCACCACCCGTCCCTGCCCCCCAACCACACGCACCAACCTGCTGCCAGGGGCTCTGTGCCTCCTCTTCTGACAGCTCTATGCTCTGGAGCCACTTCACGCTGCGCGCGCCAACGTATCCTGGTACCACTGCTCGCAGCTGCATCGTGCATGTTGATGAGGTGGCGACGGTGCACAGGGGGGGGTGGGATGGGTCCAGGTACAGGGGTGGGCACAAGTGCAGCAGTGTAATAACCCCACATGAAGGGAATTAATCGGCGGATGGCGAGTGCTTGATAGTGACGAGGGCGAGGCTCCAGAGGGACGGAGGGGCCCCTGGTGAGTCCGTGGCCGGCGCTGGCTGGCCGCGGGCGCTCCCGGGCGGGCGCGCGCTTGGCCTGGTGGCCCCGCCGCAGCGAGATGTGCTTGCTGCCAGCAATGGGCACGCCTTATTAAAATAGGGATGACGTGTGATCACGCATCTGCGATGCACTTGCACGCACGCACGCACGCACGCACATGAGCACACACACGCGGGCGTGCGTTCAATCGACCACACACTTCCGGGCGGGTTGGCGTCAATGAATACCTGCGCGCAAAGTTCATGCGCGCATCACTACACACGCGTGTCACTGATTACACAAGTTCTCACCGGGAACCCGTGGTCTGGCGGCAGGGGCTCCCCGTTCATGTCCCACGCCAGCATCACGCCCCCCTCTGGGTCAAGGGCCTGGGCAGAACCGCGCACAGGCGCGTCAGGAGCGTGGAGCGGCTGAGTCAGACGGACGCAATTGAAGGGACATCGCAGATTCAAGACTTGGGAGCATTTGGCAGCAGTGCTGCAGCGCGCCTGCTGGCAGGTCGCACCCCCAACGCTGGCGCCGCGGGCAGGGCTGCGGTTTGCATGCGGTCAATCTCTCGCAGTAAAGTCATAAACACAATGCAGGGCAAGCTGGCCTTTTGTGTGTGAAGCTAGCGTGGGCAAGTGCAGCGAGCAGCTTTGTTTCAGGGGAGCTGAAGCCCAGCAGCAGAAGGTCTGCAATGACATCATCCTGACATCATCAGCGTCGTTAGCGGCGCAGCGGACGTGCATGCTTTCACACCTTGTGGATGGGGATGGAGATGCTGTAGTGCATTTGGGTCTCGCGGTGCCAGTCCAGGCCCTGCAGGGTTCAGGTTCCAGGGTTCAGGTTTAGGCTTAGGGTTCAGGGTCACCCTCATGCCCTGCAGGGGTCAAGTGGCACAAGCTCACAGCACGCACGCGAAAGGGTTGTTGTTCATAAGCAGCCGGGCATCACGCCGAATCCCTGGCCACTCCAACACCCTCAGAGCCCTGAAAGCATCGGTCCATGTCAGCTCACCTTGAGAACGACGTGGCGCACCACCTCGCGCCCCTCAGCGCCCTGCGCCAGGGCGGCGGCGGCGGACGACAGATCCAGGCCGGCTGCAGCCAGCACATCCCGGAGCGCGACACCGCCCCACAGCGCGTTGCCTATGGCGCCTGCGGGGGGCGCGGCAGTGAGGAGGCTTGCGGGCACGTCCGCGGGGCGGCCCGGCCGCACATACACGGCATTGCCCGATGCGTGCAACGAGGGAGGCGAGGGTGCAAATTCTTTGCAAGACGTGCATGCTGGGGCCTGCAGCGACGGCCACGAAAGGGTTCTGCAGAGATGGCCTCGCTGCTTGCGCTGAAATTGGGTCCGCGGCGGAGGGCTTTGCAGCTAGCTCATTACATACGCACCCTGTTGCGCAGAGAGCAGGCAGAGGTGGGGACTTGCAGGCGCGGCACACATGGCACACGCATCATGCGTGAAAAGCATGTCTGCCGCGCTGTGCCCCTACCGTGGTTCCAGGGGGCGCGCCCCTCCACCAGCTTCACCGCCGCCATCTCGTTCCGGCGGTTTCCGGCGCACTGTGTGTGTTTGTGTGTATGGGAGGGAGAAAGGAGGGGTTGCGCGCCGCGCAAAGTCAACGTGGACGGCAGAGTTGTCGAAGATGAGTGTGTGTGTGGGGGGGGGGGGGTCCTACTGATTGAGGGCGCGGTGGAAGGGGCGCATCGGGAGCTGGGGGGCGGGGGGTGCGCTCGTCGCCCAAAGCGCAGCCAGCGAGCGCACGCCAGCACAGCCCCGCAGCGCCGCCCCTCATCGGCCACGCTGTGAGCGCTGCGCGCGCCGCATGCGGTGCCCCGCGGAGACGCCTACCTGCAGCGAGGCCTGCATGTGCATCGTGGGGCCGTAGCGGCCGGTCTTCAAATCATCGAGTGAGAGCTCCAGCGCCCTCCCACCCAGGCTGGCCCCCGACACCGTCAGCCTGCGGGCATCAACGCGGGGCCTGTCGCACGCAGCCCAGGAGGGGTCCACGCACGTCTGCGCCTGCGCCGCGCCCGCGTCGCGACCGCAACCGACGACCGGGGGGAGCCCCGCACGCACAGCGAGCCGCCCCGCTGCCGCCCCATCAGCCGCGCGCTGGGAGAGATCCAGCCAGGCCCACCTCCCCTTCTGCCCCTGCCCTGACTCTCCAAATACCAATACCCCGGCCCCTGTCGCGCCTGTACTCTTCAGGGTTGTCGCAGCAGGGCACAGGCAGGTGGTTCCTCACGTAAAACAGGCCGGGCGGCGTCAGGAACTCCTGCCAGGGTTCATCGGGATTGGTTAGAGCGAGGGTACAGGTATTAGGGCCACCACCAAGCTGCTGCTCGGGCTCGTTCTGGCTAGGGCGGCTGGGGCTGGCGCCCACAGGGGGTTGGAGTGCCGGGGCGGATTGAGGCTCAAGGTCAAAGTCACGCGGGCGCTGCTGTTGTCGCAGGCTAGAGGGGGAGTGGGGTCGGTGAGTGGCCCCGGAGCATGCTTGCACAGCCTCGCAGGCCGATTGAAGGGCTCTGCAAAGACTCTCGGCCGCCGCACACGCACATTCCAGGCGACAACAGACACAACAGCAACGGACCACACGCCCGCCCCGCCCCGCCCCGCCTGTGCTCCGTTCCACGCGTGCGCCTTGCGCCCTGCCATGGCCCGCACCAAGGCCGCGCAGCGCGCCCGTGGTACATGCAAGCTTCAGCTGTGTGTCCGGATAAAAAGGCGCCTCATGACATATCAAGAAAATAACGGCGGCCGGCGGGGCGCACACCTTGGAGAGGACCGTGTGGGGCGTCTCCGCGTTGAATGGCGCGAAGCAGTGCACCATCATGGCCGCGTCGCGGCGCGGCTGGCCCGTGTACTGGTCTGCAGGCGCGGGGCACCAATGAAGGCGGTGCGGAGGGTGGCCGGGCAAGCGGGGGTTGATGGGTGGGCAATGACAGGGGTCAGGGGGGCGGCTCGAGAGCGCGCGCCAGCCAGCACCCAAAAAGACGTGCACCCACGCCGGGCCCCGTTCGCAGCCGGCGCCGGCCCTGCAATGCGTCGCGCCTGAGCGGCCCTCGAGCGGCTGGCCTGCCCGCACGACTGGGCGCGGTACGGCGGGGCCCCTCAAGCCCACCAGCCCCTTTGTGGGTGTCACCCCTGACCTGGGTCTGTCTGGGCGCAAACAGCCCCCACCTTCGCAGCAGGCAAATCGCAGCACAACTGCAAACCCTATAACCCAGGCAGAAAGCAATCGCCTGGGGCACCACCAACATCAGCTGCCGGCCGCGCAGCCCACCAGGGGTCATGCTGGGTTCCAGGTTTTTGGGGTCAGCGGGGCCCAGCACCGCGCCGCTGCGGTCCTGCTTACCCAGGCCCAGCTCCCCCGGCTGCGAAGGGCGCGTCAGCAGGCCTGCGGGCCCGGGGTCAATGGTTCCAGTCGGAGGGGAAAGGGTGGGGAGAGGAGAGGGGGGTAGCTTAGGGGGGAGCGGCAGGGCACGGGCTGCATGTGTTCTGTCCGCGGCGGCTATGCGACCAGACAGAGTTCAGTGCCGAACGCCAGTCAACGCACATGTCAGTCCCCGCACAGCCAAAGATGACCCGCGCGTTTGGCCTGAATGACTACGCCCTCCTCTACCGCAAAAAAGCGGAGATGCCTCTGCAGCAAAATGGGACACCTCCCTTGCTGCACCCCGCGTTCAGACCTCAAAACCACATGTGCTTTGCATAACATGAGCCCCAACCATCGCACATCACCGCCGCCCACGCACCCGGCGCCTTGCGCGCGCCAGTCGCCTCCACGATGCCGCCGCAGCAGCCCGTCAGGGAGCCCGGCGGCAGCCAGACGGCCCTCGCGGGGTCCGCGCGCTGGGTGGCGCTGGGGGAGGGGCCAGGGTCCACCCCCAGGTCAAATGCCTGCGGGGGGGAGGACATAGGGGAGGATTCAGACAGGGGTCATGAGTCGGAGTTTGCGAGACGACTGCAGGGTTTTAGAGATGATTTTGAAGAGGAGGATGATGGATGCAGGGCTGGGGCTTCTCATGTGATGAGTTTTTTTTCGAAAAGAAGGGTCAAGTCCAGGAGGGTGCCACGAGGGAGGCAGGGCCGAGCAAAGAAGAGAGCATGCATGAGAGGATATGGGGTCTTGTGTGCACGTGGATGTGAACGTGTGTGCGTGTGCGTGTGCGTGTGTGTGTGCGTGTGTGTGTGTGTGTGTGTGCGCGCGCGCACAAGGGGGGGTGTCAAATGATGTTGAGGCCACAATGCAGCCCTCTTGGGCAGCCGTATTGTACTGCTAGACACGGTTCAAAGTTCAGAACAGTCACACACCAAGGCTTGAATGAGCTCAGGTGAGCGGAGCAGCAGCGGCGCCCCTTTACCGAAGCCCGCGGTGCCCGCACGCCCGTGTGCCCGCGCCCCCACGCGTCGGCGCATCGAAACACCTGACGCAGCTGCCTGCGGGCGCGCGCAGCCGGCAGGGCGCAAGCTAAGTGCACAGGCGCGGCCGGGGCGCCCCACCTCGAGAGCGTCGCCTGTCGTCGCCACGTCAGCGCCCCCGCCGAGGGTTAGGCCGTTACCGCAGGAAACGGGGTGCGCAGCGTAGCACGCGGCGACCATCGGCGGCGGCGGCGCCAGCGGGTATGGCGACGGCTGCCCGCGCCCGTCCTCGGCCGCCCGCACGGCGGCGGCGTCCCCGACTGGGATGCCGTCGCGCTCGCGGGTCAGCTGCAGCCACGCGGCCGGGCGCGGGGCTGCGGCGCCGCCGGCGCTGGCGGCGTCGGGGGCGCGGGGCGCGCCGCCCGGGAATTGCAGGATCACCTGCGGCGGTTGACGGCGGTTATGGAAGGAGGCATTTGGACGGCTCTCTGGCGCCACTTGCGTGCAGCAGGGTGGCCCACAGCCACCAGCGTGCACATCCATGCGCGCAGTCCGAGGCGGATGACTAATGGCGTCACTCGCGCAGCTGACCGAACCGAAGCCCTCGAGACTCGTCTGCGCTGACACCCCTTGTTATGCACCGCCTCGTGGCCCGAAAACCCCGAACACTCAGATCCTGAAGTCTCGCCCCTAAACCCTGAATATGGAACCCCCCCTCTCTTGTTTGACAAAGCCCCACCTCGTGAGCCTGGCCAGCCGCCAGGTCCTGGCGCCAGGGCAGCAGCGCCAGCTCAGCCACCGCGCCGGCCAGTGCCGGCGAGCTGCTCAGACGGGCGGCAAGTTTGGTGCGTTTAAATGGGTTCGGGTGAGTCGGGGGTTCAGGGTGATCAAGCAGCATCCAAACTCTATCACACCACATAAAATGATTCAAGATCAAATCAAAACATTGTAAAGTTGAGGGAGCTCGAGTCAACACAGAGCCCCACCCACAAGCCACTCCGCGGCACGCGGCCGATGAGCGCGCTGGCCACGGCCCGCGCTCAGCGCCGGCCGCAGTCGTAGCGCGACCCCAAGCCGTGCAGCCAGCCGGAGCGCAATGTGGGCTCGCTTGCACACGTGCGTGCGTGCATGTGTGCGGGGCTGTCGTCCGTGCACGCACGGGGCGCCGCCGGCTCACCCGCCGCTCGTGGGGGCTCCTGCGGGCAGCAGAATCGAGAGCACCGTGGCGCTTGTCCCGGCGGCCTTCAAAAATGGAGAACAGGAGGGGGCCAGCGAGGTCAGGTGAGGGGAGGGGCGGGAATGAATGGTTTTGGCAAGCCAACAAACGGATGAGCACTCCCAGCGCAGTGGCAGGCAGGTGGACGCGACGCGCCCATCGCCCGGTGAATGCCCCAGTGCCGTGGCTGTCACACACATGAATGTAAGATATGCGTTGCCCCCAACCAAAAACGACCTTCTGCAACCATCCAGAGGTCGATGCCCAGTACGCCCTCAAAAAAAAGCCCTAATGAATCCCAAACCTAGGCCCTGACCCCAGCCCTGGACCTGTCCGCCCTCGCCCCCGCCAGCGGCCGTCGTTTGCAAGCGGTTCGCCGCACCTTTGCCAGCTGGCGGCCCCAGGCCCTGGCATCGCGGCTGTGCTCGCCGGATGAGTCCGCGGCCAGCACGCTGATCACGAACCGCCGGTAGCTCCTGCGAGGCCGCAGGGGCAGCGGTTGGGGATGGGCGGTTGGCGGGCGCCACACAGTTGCAAGCATGGCAGCGAGCCCACTCTCAATGCCCCAGAGCATAGTATGCAGACAAGGGGTGATCAAAGCTGCGCCTAGCAAAGCTCATTTCACAGCAATAGACCGACATCCCACCGGCCCAACATCGCGACGGGGCCGCACATTTTCGCGCAATCACAGCCCCCTCCGACCGCACGCCCCCCTGCCCTGCAAATGGCGAGCCACCCTAACCTTAAACCCTGCCCCCCTAAACCCTTCAAACGGTGGGCCCACGCACGCCTCTGGCTCTGCCTGCGACAGCGCCTTGCCGGCGGTGCGATCGTCCGGGTCTGGCAGTAGCTCCCCCACAGCGCGGCGCAGGAAGAGGGCCTGGTCGGGCGCCGACGCGGGCGGCGCGGCAGCGCCGCCGCCGGCAGCACTGGGCAGGACGCGATGAAGCAGGCCCGCGGCGCCCCCGCGATTGCCGGCTGCCAAGGGCGGGCAATTGGGGACGCAGCGCATGCGGTGTGTCAAGCCTCTGGGTGCTTGAGGGGCGCGGGCGGAGGGGGGGCGCGCGTCGCTGGGAGCCCAGAGCCCGCGGCGCACGCAAAGTTTGGGCATCCGGAGCGCGCCGCGCCGCGGCGCGAGCGAGCATGCGGCTCGTGCTGCTGCTCGTGCACCGCCCGCAGCAAATTGCACGCTCAAGGCCTCAGCTTCGCCCCCGCCCCTTGGGGGCCGGCGTGCGGGTGGTTCGGGCGCGGCGGAAACGCCTGTGAGAGGGCCCGCCGTCGTCCCGGCTGGCTGGCGGGCCTGCCCGCCTGCCCTGCGTGCGTGCCCACCTGGTGGCAGCGAAATGATGATGTCCACAGCCCCCTGGCGGCTGAGGGCAGTCCTCGCGATCCGGTGGACGGCCTGCAAGGCGGGGGTGGTGGGCGTGTGACACGACAGCACGCGGCGTCGGGGGGCAGGGCCAGGGAAGCCCGGGCTGAATGCGCCCGCAGGGCTGGTGCATGCTGCCGGTTTGGAGGGGAAGTTAGGGGGAGGGGCGATGACGGCAGCACCGAGGACGCGTCGCCGCGCGTTCGCCTGTTGTGTGGGGCCGGCGGCGGCGCAGGCTGGGCGTGCACGCAGCGGCCGCGGTTGGAGGGGGGCTGGAGCGTCCCCCTGCCCGCTGCCCCTGTCATTTGCCCTCACAATCCCTCTCTTCGAGACAAACCCGATGAAGCGAGCTTTTGACCATCACTCATCGGCCACAGCAAGGCCACAGGCCACACGCCACAAAACATAGTTCCATCAAAAGCCAAGCCTCACCTCCTCTGCATCAAGCGGCCCCTCCATCGGATGAATGTCGACGGCCGGCGCCCCCACACACGCGCACTGGCGCCCCAAGGCCTCCATCCCGTCGCGCTCCTGGCCGTGGCCCACCTGGCAGGGCGGGTGGGGAGAAGGGGGAGGGGCCTCTGGTTGAGCGGGTGCAGCAAAAAGAGGTGGAGGGAGCCGGTCGGCCAGTGCTGCTGCTGCCGCTGCCGCTGCTGCTGCTGCCGCTGCTGCTGCTGCTGCTGCTGCCGCTTCCGCTGCCGCTGGTTCAATTTTTTAAGCTGGGGCATGCTTCGCCGTGCTGTCGAGGCTTTCTGACGAAGCACCTACAGCAACGGCCGCTGGGATCTCCTGACACAGGCTTTGACCCTGGCCCACGCGTCGCTGCTGCACTGGAGCAAGACGCTGCGTGCAGTGGCGCGCAGTGTCTGTGGCAGCTAGTAGACCCGCAGGCAGAGGGTTCAGCCGGTCGTGCCGGCCGCCGTCTCCTAATCCCAAGTGGCGGGTGACGCCCAAAACCCCGGCCCCCGCACCATTACGATGCGCGCGCTCTCGGCCGCAAACGCCAGCGCGACGGCGCGGCCCAGGTCGCTGGGAGGGGGATGGTGTGATATGTTGGGATTTTAACGGGGAGCGGTCGCTTGCGATGAAGAGGCAGTGCAGCAGGGGCGCCTGGTGATGGACGGGTGACGTCACCGCCCCAGGCGGGGTGTCGACCCCAGGGCAGCTGCGAGGCGAGGCGGGAGCGCACCTGAGAGGCTCTGTGATCAGGGCGACCAGGGGCAGACGCCGCTGCTCGGGCAGCGGTGCGGCGTGCGGCATGGCTAAGATTGAGTTGATTGGGGTCGGGCCGAGATCAAAGGAGGGGGTTCCAACTTATTTCGGGGACTCGAGACTCTGGTGGCTCGCAACGACCATGCCCCGATTGTGCGATCGACAGGTGAATCCGTACGACTTGCAAGCAATCCTCGACGCTGTTGGCAGGCCACACAGTCTGCCGAAAAGAATCTCTGGGTCACTCCACACTCAGCAGGTCATGCTGAGTGGGTCAGCGAAATGCCCAAAGCTCAGCCATATTGGTCTCGAAGTTGCCTAATCGGCCCTGTTTACACCTCACCGTTGTGGACATTTCTGTGCTCTATCACCAACACAGCACACGATCGGTGGTGCGACCTGCCCGTCAGGTTCAGGCGGCAGGCAGTCAAATGACTGATTTGCTACCTGAGTTTGCGAGCTTAGTTGGGTCAGGGTGCGGCATTTCGAGCATCAGTGTCGGTCGACAGGTATATATGATTCTGCGCCACTCAGCGGTTTGCGCAATGTGCCAAAGTGCGAGTTGACATGACCGCGGGCGCTGACGACATGCCACCGGGCCCGCGAGAGTGGGCCCCCGCTCCCTCCCTCAAATCTATCGTCAGAACCCTAGACACCACCAACCCCCGCAGCCCACACCTGGTGCGTCCTGACCTGGTTGGTGGGGCGCACGCCCGTCTCGGCAGGCTGCCCGTGTTTACGGGTCAGGCGCAGCTGCCGCCGGGCATCCATCCGGCAGGAACCTGGCCAGCGTTGCACACACGATTCAGCCGTGCCCATGAGCACAAGCGCAAGGGCGAATCTGCTGCAGGGAGGGCAGCGGCCGACGGCAATAAGGAACGGGCGAGGCTTGCAGCAGAGCAGCAGAGCAGTCAGCAAGCCAGGCCCGCTGGTGGGCCGCAGCTGTGACCGACGACACGACGCGGCGGCGGCGTCCTGACGCTGCGTACAATCCGTCCAAATGTTGTGGGGCAACGAAGAGCAGGATGTTTTTTTATGTCACCTAAGATCCGGCCCTCCTTTTGTTTCGCAATAGCGGCGGAAGATGGCTGGGGCGGGGTGAGCGGCAACATTGTACTTGTCATGTCGTACCAGCGCCACTACCATCACAGAGGGTTTGCTGGCCTGCAGGTGCGTCCGGCCCATCGCCGGCACCCTGAGTTCCGCCGATGCCTCGAAGGCTGTCATACGCAGCCCGTTCCCGCAGCGCGCGCCGCCCTACCTGACGTGCACATGCTGCTCGGGCCATGGTAAGCAGCAGGTCCCGCCCTTGGGGCGGCAGCAGCACGCCAGAGGAGAGCAACGGGCCGTGTATGATACGTGCAGCCCTTCTTGGTGGCAGCTCGAGACTCTGGGCAAGTAGTTACCTGGTGAATCATTGCCCGCGGCGCGTGCTGTCCACGCATGGTTTGCGGACGCGCGATTTGTACCGTATGCCCTCGTTTTGCATGCAGTGTTGGATTGCCGCTTGAGATTTTGGAGGCCTCTTGACCAGGGGCTTCCGAGCCCTGCCATAGTCTTACGCCATGATCACCAGGCTGCTGCTGCAGCATGCGGCAACAAGCGGGGCACATTCGCTGCAGATTGATCAATTGAGTGCGTCAAGTTGATGGCGGCGTTGCACCGCGCGCCGGCGCAGCAGCGGTTGTCTGGCGCCCTAATAAGAATTTGCTTACAAAACTTCTTGCTGATGCTTCCATGTTGATCCAGTTTCAAACGCACCGTCGCTCTCACCGGGTGACATGTCGACCATTACCGGTATTCTGACAAGCTTCCACACTTAAGCTAGGCCCATGTCACAATCCGCGTGACATTTCATGCACATATACTTACGAAATCTGTCGAGTTTACTAGATCGTGTTCAAAATATCACCATCTATAGCAAAAGTCGTTATAAACCGCTTTGAAGCGGTGCTTGGAGGTGTTATAATCATGCGAATATACCCCAGCCCTTACGCTGGCAGCGGCACGGGCGGCGGCTGCATCGACCTGACTGCTGCAGACACAGTGCCCACGCAGCTCGCAGGTGGGCGGGATAGAGAACAGGCCCTCGGCCTGGCCACAGAGCCTCATGCACTCAGCCTGCAGATACGATTCAGCTGAGCGGTCCTGAAGCAGGGAGCAGGCACCGGACAAAGGCCTGCCTGACTGCACCGCCACATCCTGAGCATCGCCGCTTCACGGTGAAGGGCGGCAAAGGCGGCGCGCTGCACCCAACACATGCACCCTTGCCCGCGCGCATCCTTGGATCAACGGTAGCATTGTATGAGAACGAGGCCGGGGGATTCTGGGACCACTTCTACCGCCGCAATGGCGACAAATTCTTCAAAAACAGGTGCGCGCAGCAAGCCACCAGCTTTCGCATATGGAGCCGCTGGTTGTGGCACCCACCAGCTGCCCATACGCAACGATCAGTGACGCGATGGTCCGCAAAGGCAGGAAGCACTGGCAGCCTGCGCTTGGGAGGCTGAAGGGACGCTGCCCGCAGGCGCGCGCCGCCAGCGGCGGCGGCGTTAATCAACCAATGGCCCCGGCAGCGTGTCCCGGTCATCTCTTGAAAGGCTGGCCCCCGGATCCCGACTGATACAAGCAAGCGCCGTTCGTGCAATTAACCTGCAAACGCAGGCACTATCTGGATAAGGAGTGGCCGATGCTGCTGGAGGGACCCCTGTTGGTGTTTGAGGTGCGCAGGGCCACAGCTGGGGGCGTCTGCGGGCGCAGTGCGCACAGCACAGAGCCGAGGCCGGGGGCGACAGGGGCAGTGATAGGTGCGCAGGCGCGTGCATAGCCCCGCGGAACGGCCCGATTTGCGCAAGGGGCAGCGAAGTACTGTGCGCGAGTGCGTCAAGTGCTGTTGGAGGTCGGGGATTGCGGTGCCTCAAACCAGCTGGTCAAGCGTCGCCGCTGCCTGGAACCCGCATCCCAAAGCAGTCTCTGTATCGCCGCCGTGGGACCGCCCCCCACATGACGCTCCCTCACACTCGTCTGCCCGTCACACGCGCATGTGGCCCCTCGCAACCACCACCCCCAAACACGCTCCAGGTTGGCTGCGGCGTCGGCAACACTGTGTTCCCTCTGCTGGAGGCTAACCCCCAAATCACAGTCTACGCGTGCGACTTCTCGCCGCGGGCGGTGCAGGTGCGGCGTGCCAGTCTGTTGGGTGAACAGCCGAGTGTCGGAGAGGTGCAATATGCGGAGCGCCCGGGCGGCCGGCTGGCCGGCGTTGCAGCGCACGGGGGCTGCTCGTCCTGCACAAGTCGTGGCTGGGCGGCTGCGCCCTGCTAAGTCTTCGCCCTGCAACCGGCCTAACCGCTCCCCATCTCACCTGCGTCCCCCCCCTCGAACGCCTGTATGCCTGACCCTTCCCAGCCTACCGCCAGCCGTGAGCCCTCCCCTGGCAATCCAAACCCTTGTACCAACAAGCTGAAGCGC